TTATGCCTGGAGTGCTTAAAGCACTCTCAATGGCTGTATCATCGTGGTCTTCTGGTGGTGGAGAGAAAGACCAGACCTGCGACATATATTAGGGAAAATATTTTCAGAAAACGGAAGATGGCCACGTACCTCCATAACCGTTCGGCCAGATCGGCTCGCCATAATTACTGCCTTTTCATCTTCAAAAGCAACTCTCCAAACCGCCTCGGCCGGAGTAGAAAGCTCCCGCAACAGCTGACCTGTCTGTAGGTTCCAAACCTTGACACGGCCATCGCTGCCACCACTGACAATGCGGGTCTTATCAAACTGAAGACTGGTAACACTGTTATCGTGGGCCGCAAGACGGTGAATCGGCGCCATCTTGGTTAACGACCAAACGCGGACAGAGCCATCGGAGCCACCTGTCACTAGCGTGTCGTCCCGCATCTGTAGCTGACCAACCAAAGAAGTATGACCTTGGAGAATGGCGTGGCACTGCCCAGAGTGTGGGTCCCAAATGCGGACGCTAGTATCCAAACTTCCCGTCGCGATCCGCCGGCCATCAAAGGCAATAGCGTAGATCTGACTAAAATGTCCTGAAAGAGTGCGAAGACAGCGTCCTTGGGAGATGCTCCATATCCGCGCAGTCGTATCATAGCTGCCCGACACGACTAGATCACCATGAATTGCCAGACACCGCACGCTGGCTTGGTGTCCGACGAGGACGTTCCGACATGTCCCTGTAGCCAGATCCCATATCCGAAGGGTGGTGTCCCTGGATCCTGAGATGGCTGTGTTCCGATCCGACATCTTCAGACAACGGACGGTTGATGTGTGGCCCCGAAGGAGATGGATTCCCGCTCTGTCATGCGTTAGTTCTCGTTCTTGCAAGTCGTGGGGGTTCTGTCCTACCCAGTAGCCATGTTCCAGACTCGAACTTCGCGGTCGCAGCCTCCGCTGACCAAAATGTCATCCCACGGGACCATCGCCCATACTCCCATCACATGGCCTTGAAGCGTCTTCTGGTTGTCACCGTTGGTATCATAGACGTGGATCTTCGCATTATCCAACGCAACGACAATGTACTTCGGAGTGAGGTGAAGACTCGTAACCACACCCTGGTCAGGAGTGATATGGCGCTGGGTGCAGCGACCACCTTTATTCCACGCCGACTCAACCATGTATTTCTGCTTGAACTGTGAACGGTAGGAGACAGGCCGGGTCCGACGTCTTCGGTTGAAGCTTGTCGGAGGCAACCATTCTCCGGAAAGTGTGCGGGGAAGGTCCGGTGCACTTTCGGTGGGGTGACCATTTGACGCGGTCAAGCGCCGCTGCAACCCGCCGAAGGTGCGTGCGCCGGAAGCCGAGTCTACGGGATGTGCGGTGAAAGGGTCGACGAGGTCCCCTTCATCTTCCAGCACCCGCCGCACCGAGTATGCATGTTTCTCGCATAGGTTTTTCCAAGTGATGTCATCGTTTAGTAGTTCTCGCCAACGCCGTGATACTTGTGAAGCTCGGGCGAGAGTCTTGGGGTCGTCAATAAAGGAGAGAACCTAAGCAGACTCAATATTAGTATGGAATAATAGTAAGAGACTCGGCGAAATGTCTCACTCTTAAGCATAGCTCATTAGGAAAAACCTGGAATGGGTCTTTCCTCAGTCGAGGACCAACGTAACTCGATACAAAGCTTAGCTGTTGGCTGTCGCATACATCCAGAAGACCCTCCAAGAGTTTCTGTTTTCGGGCGTTGGATAAAGTACTGAAGTGAATGCGGAGATTTAACAAAAAGCTGTTCTCTTCATCGTCGGTCGAGTGCCAAGTTGGTGGTCGATGATGGGGGGTAGGGCTGGGCGCGGGTGTCGGGGGTGATGCGGGCGCTGAAGGAAGTAGGTTGGCGGGTAAGGGAGTGATGGTTGTCTTGGTGCTGAGTGATCTAGATGGGGTGCTAGCAAACGTAGTAACTGATTCGTGGGACTGTTGGTTATGAGGGTCCAACTGGTCTGATGTGTGCGCATTCGACCTATCTCCCATGTCGCTGAATGATGCCCGATGGGAGTCCATGGCCGCAGAACAGGGGGGAGACCGCCACAGTCGAGTTTGATCCTCCCACTTGCCCGTTTTCTATTTATTGACGTGACGCACTGAACCTCCTAGCGTTCACGGCCGGCATATAGTTATGAGTGAGTCGGGAGTCGGGAGTATGAGGTTCGGGGGTATGAGGAGAGGCTGGCGAACGGCCGAGGGAGGGAGGGAGGTGAGACCAATAATCCTCCGAATGTATCGAGGCCGCCCGTTTTCTCTTTTCTTCTTTGTATTTTTCGAATATATCACTTTTTTCGTTTCTTTTCATTCAATCAGAGTTCGAAGTCAACTTCCAATGAAAAAAAGGCGATCAGGAAAAGGGACATTTGAAGCGGAGGTGTCGTGATTCTGACAAAGCATGGCCCGGGACTAATCAGATGAGAATTATATGGATCTTATGCATCCGGCACTGATCTTCTCTTTTCTCCGCATCTTTTTTGCCTTCTGATTTGCCTGATATTTCCTTTTGGGAGTTCATGGCAAAAGAGGCAACAGGGAGGCGTCGAGAACGTAAACCCGAAGGTGGTTTGGCCCAAGACCATGTCATTGATCTCCAGGGCTGAATATTGCGAACTGTAAAGGCAACCTGATACCTATTCACGATGCTCACGTTACTCACCGATATCATGAGAATATAGACCCAAAGCTTTGGATTGGCATGCGGCTATCGGAATTGGACCATGGAACTTGTGAACGACTCCGGGATGATTCAGACTGACGAAACTGACGAATTTTGTCATCACCAACATTATAAAAGATAAAATACCCCCCGGGGAAGTCAAGCATCGGGGTCCTGTCAGGCTTTAAATAGGGCACAGTGACGCTACGTAGATGTGATCGTGAGATATCATGCAATTATGACCAATATAACACCCAGCAGTTATACAAGGAAATCTATTCAAACATATCCTCCCTTATCTCAATTTATCTTAGCTAGAGTAACCCATCGCCCAAACTGTATTTTGCAATGGGTATAAGCCCCCCAAAATCTAGTTGAAAAGCGAAAATGTAAACGCACTGTAGCGTCTCCCCAACAGTACTTTCTCAGTGAGCATGTCCAATCTGCAAGAATAGCGGCAAGATCATGCCCAAAACAGATGCAATCAAGTCTCTCATGGACTTGTCCGATCCATTCTGGTCTCGGTCACCATATCCGTTGATAGGAAGTTCCCGCGGAGACGAGCCCGGGCCATTTTCTTGCATGGTGTGCATCGCAACATACCTATACAGATTAATAAGAAGCTCAATATGCTGGGCGAAAGAAGACTCACAAAAAGGTGCCCCCAGAGAAAAGCAGTAGCATTCCAGTGCGCCAGTGAGTGCCTGCCTCATCAGCACTGGAAGATCCCGTCATCCGTACAAAGAGGAAAGTGGCCAAGGCACCGAAAGGAGCTGCCAGACTGAATACCAGCAAATGCGCTCTGGCGGTGCGACTTGACAGCCCCTGCTTGAGCAGGACGGAGGTCAATCCGAAAGATGCCGGAGCCTTATGCACCATGATCGCCAAGAAGATAATAAAACTGAGGCCGGCATCCGAGCTGGAAGCGCCTAGGGCAATACCATCGGCCGCGGCGTGAATCACTAGACCGGTCGTAGTCGCAAAGCTGTGGCCACGTCTGGACGTGTTGTTCGCATCAAGCAGTCCACCCTCGCGCGATGGGGAGGAACCCCGCCGCAACCCTGATCCAAGGTTATCCAAAGAGATATGGTAGGGGGTCCGTTCGCTCTTAGTCGGCGCTGCAAATTCGGGCAGTTTATCAACGAGGTACATCAAAATGAAGCCACTGATGAGGGCGATTCCGACCCACGCATGCGGCGAACTCTCCTCCTCTCCGTGAATTGTGTCCTTGCCCGCTGTTTCATCCGTCGAATCCTCCTTTCGGACATAAAGTGTTTGCGACTCGGAGAGTTGGTCTCTTTCTAAAATGAGACCCGGGACAGGGGTATCCGGCAGGTTTGAGGCACTGTCTCCGTTGGGGCCAAAAGTAGCTGCCACGGCGGGGGCTTGGTGCTGCCATTCAATAGCGGTAGCCCGCGTATTGTGTTGCTTGCGAGTGAGGGAGTTTGCGCTGTAGAGAGTTTCAATGCCCTCGGGGATAATGACGATCAACGAGGTCCCCACCAGAACGCCCATACCAATGGACGATATTAAGCGGAGTTGAGAGGGGGACAACGTAAAAGCCAGAGGTAATGAGCCGACGACAAAGGATCTGCCAATAACTCGGAGCATTAGCTTGAATCCAATTGAACCTTAGGTTTCCAAACTCAGCTCACGTAATTGCCATCACAATGCTCAGAGCGAGCAAAGTGAATAGTCCCTCCATGATGATCTCGCAGTTCACTCTATAGACTTTCTATCATGGTGAGGGGAATTGAAGAGAGGGTCCAGAGAGAGTCTGGAGAGAGTGTGTGGTTGCGTAAGAGGCCAAGGTGTTGGAAGGATCCAGGTCGGGGACCCACGGGGTTCAGGTACCGCTTTCAAAACATACCAGGGGAAAGTATGTATGTGTAAAGTATGGACAACATATGTGTATTTGGAAAAGTGATATTTTATTCGATAAGGCCCTTGAAAGGCATATAAGGCTTAAGGCTGATTCTAGAACATCAGGTTGCCAAACGCTATGTCTGCTCCCAAGCCACACATTTGGCCTTACCGGACTATACAAGGCCGAGAGCAACCATTCTTGCTAGGATTGATCCTTTCCGCATTTGTTCCCCTTTCATTTCTCTATACTACTTTACTTTACTCCCTACTTAATGTCTATAGCCAAGAATCATCGAGTGTCGCGATTTAACAGTATAAACTGTTCAAGCCACGCAAGCCACCGTCGCCCACATCGATACTCCATTTTGATGCAAAGAGCAGTCAGCCATGCTCCACTAGAATACATACCTATGCGACACAGACCACAGTTCAAGGCCGATTTACCCCGCGATCCTTATCGCATCTGAACCTCCGAGTCACCGCTGCCGTGTGCACCCTTTGGCAGTCGAAAGCCCAAGTACGGCAAATATCTTCCTGGGTGCCAGTAGATGAAAAGGGCAACACACGGATAGATACACAGAGTATCAAAGACATAAAAGGGCCACTCATGGGTGCTCAAATATCCCGTCGTGCCTTCGGTGAATTCCACAAGTCGATAGACAGACCGAACCTGGTACAAGTCAGCGAGTGGACGGCGGCTGAAGGCGGAGCACTGACAAGAATTAATATCGTGGTGAGATTGACAACTCGCAACAGAGCGGGCCAGTTATTATCTTTGACAACACCATCAATGATGTACTCCTTCTCTCCAACATTCTCATATCGCTCACTCAGAGACCCAGTGAAGCGTTTGGAAGTGAAGTCGAAACGGACAGCTGCGACTGCAAACAAGCCAAAGGCAACCAGCTGGATAATGACACCTGCTTGTGCAACGTGTTTCCACATGTTGAGCTTGTTTTTCGCATCCTTATCTGCGGCATCGACTGAAGAGATCATCACCGCGCCGATAAGCTGGAGTAGCAGAGCAACGATATCACACCCAACGAAGATACGTGTAATAAATCGTGGAGGTATCCAGCACAGCCGAAATGTCAGTGCCTCTTGAGGAACGATGAGAAACAGAATGCGACTAAATATGATATAGCAACACGCTGCCATGAGGACGGGTGCGAGGATGACGAGGGAAAATTGGAGGACATAAACGGGTCTCTCCGATGTGTTTTGGACTGAGGCACATCGGCCAATGTAACCGATTGCTTCCACTGAGATGTTGGTTAGCTTGACTGAATGAGAGACGAAATGCGCACGTACTGGCTGCTGCTAGCACCATTATACCCCAGACCCAGGCCCTGTACCGGATCCATTGTACAGCCGTCAACAGAAAAGCAACGGTGTACAAGACAGCAGCGACAATCGCCACTGCTAGAGAGGGGTTATAAGCATAAAAGGAAATTCTCATCTCGCTGTGCGGAGCACGTTCAATGAGAGACATTGTAGATGTTTGATCCAGATGCCCACGTCTGGGATGATTGAAAGTGAAATATATTACTTCTCAGTGGTGTCTCTGTTGTTGAAAAAAAGGAAAAGGATGAGAACATCGACATGGGAGGTGTGTGGCTTTTTCAGTCCTAAGTGCTGGACCTCAAACCTTGGTTCACCCTCTTCATATTCTCTGTACTCCCTCCCTTTTAGCTCGATAGAAACCAAGGAAGCCGTCCGAAAACTTTCAGGTAACTTCATCCAGTTGTGGGAAATGGAAGGTAGTTTAGGCAATTTACTATGTACTTCTAAACGATGGATAGATACCCAGTTAGGAAAGGACGATGCTAAAAACCTTCCCAAGTTCTAGCGAAGAGTCCAAGCCCCTGCATATGCACCTACGTACATGTAGTAATGCGGTACTTATCTCTAGGACGTTGCTACTTGTACGTACATAGCTTCTATATGGATGATAACCGTTAGCATGTATATTAGGAAAAATAGGACAGCCCAAACGATGCCTAGAAGCTGTTATGGGGACAATTAACGTTGAGTGGTAGAAAGTATCCTGGTTATACATAAAAAAGCCATCTGTACGCATGGTTTATGCTTTTGCCCCTATTGTAGAGTGATCAGCCCGACATGTCTTCCTTCCAACGCTAATGATCATCCTTCTAGCTATCTATAGAAAGACGCCTAAAGAGACATCGGAGCGTTACCTTCCATATCACTTTAACTATCACCTTGAGCCAGATGATTCAGATTATTAAAGTTCTACTCCGTACCTCGTTAAGGATAAGGGGCCGAGTTCTTGTCATCATAAACTTTAGATATTATCAGAAAATCTTCGATGTTTCTTGTCGAATAGTTCCTACCAAGGCGATTATAAAATTCATTTCCAATGCCAGGATAACTACATACATGATCAACAGGTACCTGAGCTCATGCCCCAAGCATGTCCAAGGGAATATGCAGGGGTTCATTTTTCTTAGCAAGACAAGCTATCCGGAAATCCATTTATCCAAGTTAGCGCATAACTGAAACAAGTTGTTTCAGATTAAGAGCGGGATAGTTCGTTAGATCTCGAATTTATCCGCTTCTTGCCATGCAGAGAAATAATTATATTCTATTGATGTTGCCAGGCTAATCCTCCTCGGTCATATCTCTTTCTGGCTTCAGTTTTGTCCTTGTTCATTCCTCTCTGTTGCCATATTCGTATTCATTTACGTTACCTTCCGTTCGCAATGGTTGTCTTTCTTTCCTTTGTTATTCCTCTTCTCCCCCTTGTAGCAAGTTTTGTGCACCCTGGTCTCCTCGTCTCCGATAGCGATATCTCTCGCACCCAGAAAAAGATCGAGACCGATCAGGATCCATGGATTACATCTTGGAATACCCTGACCGATCTCTCATTCTCTGACCCCAGCTACACTGCTTCCCCAGTTAGCGTTGTCTATCGGGCTACCTGGGAAGACCATACCGCGAACGCACAGCTCCTCTGGCATGACGTCGCGGCAGCATTCAATCTAGGCCTACGCTGGAAAATATCCCGGAACACGAGCTTCGCCAATGCCGCCAGCAATATCCTGCATGCATGGGCAACCACTCTCACTGCAATCGATGGTGGCGATGACAAGTACCTCACAGCTGGCCTACAGGGGTACGAACTCGCCAACGCAGCCGAACTGCTCCGCGATTATCAGCCCTTCGTGGACAATGTCCTCCCAGCTGTCGTGGAAATGGCCAATAATATCTTTATCCCGATGCACTATAGATGGCTGAACCATGAAGAACCGTCGGAGCATAATGTTCTCCATTTCTTCGCGAACTGGGAGTTGTGCAATGTCGCTTCGGCGATGGCTATGGCTGTCATAACCGATAACAAAACTGTGTGGGATTTCGCCGTGAATTACTTCAAGACCGGGGATGGAACGGGTGCAATCAACAATGCTATCACCAATATCGTTGAAGAGCCGGGTACTGGGGCTTTACTCGGCCAAGGCCAAGAATCCGGTCGTGATCAAGGCCACTCAGCATTAGACATGCAACTTCTTGGTGTTATCGGGCAGCAGGCCTGGAACCAAGGAGAGGATTTGTTTGCCTATAATGATAGCCGGATTCTCCGTGGGTAAGTACCATACAATCCTTTCCGCCTTACCAATTACTCATGTATCGCCCTAGGATCGAGTATTTCGCGCGATACAACCTTGGAAACGATGTTCCCTTCGTGCCCTACACAAACGGTATAGTCAGCCACACAGAGGTTAGTAGTGCTTCTCGTGGGGCCATTAGACCTACCTGGGAGCTTCTCTACAGCCATTATGTCACGATGAAGCGAATGGACGCACCTTGGACAACTCTGTACCTCAACAAGACTCTTGACTATTACGGCGGTGCAGAGGGCGGTGCGGGCTCCTGGGGAGAAGGGTCTGGCCATTACGATGGGTTGGGCTGGGGATCGTTGCTTTATCGCATGAGTGAGTCTGATGTGGTAGCACCATTTTCCTCCAAATCTGCCTCAACTACGGCAAATCCCACATCAAGGGCGTCCACTACATTGAACTGGGCTCCTAGCACAACTTCTACGACGTCTGGCACATCCGGCCAAAGTGCGCCTGTTTCGCGCTCAACCACCACAAACTTTGCTGCTGCCTCAGCTACTTCAGACACCCAAAGATTTGCATCATCAACTATTGCAGACGACAATAGGACTCCCCCATCTTCCATGAGCAGTACAAGTTCAGCCAGCACGTCGACAACTTTGCCTACTGCACCACTTGATACGTCGCAGAAAGCTCACCACCACCATCATCATAACCACGTGGAAGGTCAGGCACATGTTTGCTACATACAATAGGTCTACGTATGCCCCAAAAGGTATTCTTCAACCGCTGGCCCCGCCAACACCTTATTTCATGTATATAATTTTTCGTATACTTGACAAGCTGGTTCGTTAGTGTTGTGCTTGTTGAACAAAAATTTCCAAAACTCTGGGGGTTGAAGTCACGTCTGGTTTCCAAGGAGAGCTTTCTCGAGAATCATGCGCAACTAGCCGGATGCCCAGATATAATTGCAAAATCCTGACATAGCCGCAATTAAAGGAAATGATTAAAATCCGATGTGTATGAAACAGATACCCAACTAGGAAAGGCTGACGCCAAGCACCTACCAAAGTGGAGTTCTAGGCCCCGAGTCATGGACTCATCCCCTCGGGCTAATTCACACGAATTTTTTGCCTATTTAGAATTTAATATGATACGCCCGCATATTATTATACTCAGATACAATGCCTTTCTACGGTCGTCCTAGCAAAGGTTGCTGCAGTTGTCGGGAAAGACGGATAAAGGCAAGTGGTATGGCCTAACAGCAGACAAACTGTAGACTGACATGGTTTAGTGTGATCGGCTTGAGCCCGTGTGTTCCCAATGCAGGAGAGCGGGCAAGCCATGTGGCGGCTATAGGGACGTGCCCTCTTTCATGTTCCGCGATGAGAATGACAGGGCGGCTCGCCGAAGTGCAGCAGCAAAGGCTAAGACTGAGGCCCGTCGGAGATTGGAGGATAGAGCAGCTCTAGAACCTGACATATCCACCCCCGGCTCACGAGCCGATCGTTCACGGCCAGCCGCTTTAGTCTACAGGAGCAAGGACCAATTGATCCCGACTCCGAGAGTTACTGCCCCGCTCTCCATCCCATTGGAGGATCAGGGGTTGAAGTTCTTTATCAACCGTTTTGTGACACGGGTGGCCATCAGATCAGATGGCTCTCCACATGTAGGTTTTGTGCAGCCGTCTCCCCATGTTGGAGCAGTTACTCTCGATCAGGCGAGTCGAGATGCTGTCGTCTCAGTTGGCCTTGCTGCCTTGTCCAATGTTAATGACGATAAAGTACTGCGGATAATGTCTCGGGAGAAACATGCCATGGTTATCAAAGCTGTGCGAGAAGTAGTGGAGAACCCCGCTCAGGCCAATCCCGACAGAACGCTCCACTTGATCGTCATGCTGAGTCTATACGAGGTAAAGTTCATGATTACTGCTTGCATTTTAGTAATTGCAACATACTGACCTGCGCAGATGGTCAGCTGTACCCCAAGCCAGATCGACTCTTGGATAGTGCACATGGATGGCGCAGCTGCCTTACTTACACAATCCTCCTTTTTGCTATCACTCACGAACTTGGACCACCGAGCGCACTTACAATTTTACTTTGTTGCAATTGTTAAGTTTTTCTCCAAAAGGGTTGTCACCCCGGATCTACTAAGCTGGTCTCCTGATCTCATACCCTCTTCGCCACCGGAGATCTTACCAGGTGTCGATCTTGTTGACATACTGATAAGATTCGCGAAGTTCAATGCATATCTGCTTCAGCAAGAGCCCGACGCCAGAGCAGTCGTGGACTCAGCTCTATTGTTTGAAGATGAACTCCACAAATGGGAAACTCAGCTCCCATCAAACTGGTCCTTTACTGTGAAAGAATCCAATACATGCGGGTACACCTTTCGTGGCCAGTATCATATCTACAAGGACATGTGGGTTTCGAGAGTTTTCAACCACTACCGTTGGGCACGACTACTCGCTAACGAGACCATCGTATCCCAAATCTCGAAAATGGCACGCCCCACACCAAACGATGTGATTCAACGGCAGCAAGCATTGGGCACGATTTCTTGCATGGCAATTGACATATGCGCCGGAGTTGCAAGCCAGGAAGCTATATCCGAGCAAGGAGTCGCCGAAGACACGTCACATATACCACTGTTGAATGGTACCTTCATGCTGCTTTTCCCATTAGGAGTTGCCGGAGGAGCAGCGGGTACCCCCGATGAAGTTCATGATTGGGTTGTTGGAACGCTTAAGCGAATAGGATATACGATAGGGATCCGGCGAGCTTTGGAAATGATACCTCAACTGAAGAAATCAGTCGGGAGATGGAAGCTAGCTCAGAAGCGGTGGAATAGCATACATGAGCGTAAGTAGATGCTTAATTTTTAGGCTGTACGGGGCGCGTTGATCGTTATACGTAAATAGTCCCGAGTCAGGGGCGGGCCGAATTCGGGCGCAAAGCCTGGGGCCATAGAAGCTTTTTCCTTAGGACTGATTGAATTGATGCAGGTATGGATGTACCTAAGTAGTGACCAGGCGGGCCATAGATCCAGATTAGGTAATGCGCGCCTGCGCAGGGGCGCGTCTTCGTCTCTCTTTCTCAGACCTTCCATTGTCTTATTTGAGATTCAAAATCCACATATCTTGTCAAAATGGCGAGCGAAGCTGGATGTAAGTAGATAGTCTCCCAATATCCGATGCCGCCAACATATAAGCTGATTGATATCCACTTTAGGGTCTTGCGACGCCAACGATGCGGTCCATGTTACCATCATTCAACCTGGCGAGAAGAAGCCGAAAACACTTTCGACGTTCCACCCCCAATTCACCTATCCCATCTTTGGCGACGATGAGCAGATCTTTGGCTACAAAGGCTTAATTATCCGTTTGCGCTTTGCGGCCCATGATTTGCGCCCCCATGTTCATATTTCCTACGACGAGAAATTCAAGCCGGTCGGTGACACAGCTGCTGTCGATCTTCTCGATACTTTGAGACCTTTTGTCCAGAAAGGTGAGTTTAAGCTTTTCGACAACATGTGCGATATAAGCTAACCACGATTTTGCGCAGAGGCGTTCGCCAATCTCCAAGACTATGAGCAAGCTGTTCAAAACGACCCTGACGCGAAAGATTTCAAGCCCCCGGGCGAGTTTGTCATTGGCTACGAGGTCGATAACAGGAAATATGAGGTCTGGGCTGGATCGCTTGTGGACCCGGAAGTGCGGGAAATTCTGGATCGCATGCAGGTTCTCGTCTCCCTCTTCATTGAAGCTGGAACTCCCCTAGAGACAAGTGACCCGGAGTGGACACTCGACCGCTGGAGGGTATATTTCGTGTTTGTTTTTCTTGCTGTGCTGGAGTCCGTGACCTGAGGCTAATAAAATCTACAGGTATGAGAATGTGACTCCTCCAACACCAACAGCATCATCATATTCGATCGTCGGGTATGCTACAACGTACCGATATTGGTACTACCAGAGGGATCGAGCACACATTCCCGCGGTAAAGAACGATGCGTTCCCACCACCAGAGGTCAACATTTCCGAGCTTCCTGCACGGAACCGCATTGCCCAGTTCCTCATTCTCCCTTCACACCACCGTGCCGGTCACGGCACTCATCTATATACGACAATCCACGCGGCCTGCATCGCAGACCCAACCATTCTAGAATTAACCATCGAAGACCCCAATGAACAATTCGACGCGCTGCGGGACACAGCTGATTATTGTCTGCTACGGCCGGAGTTCTTGAAGCACAACGTGAATCTCAACCCCGACCCCCTCGGGGCGTTTTCTCAAAAGAAACGCCTTCGCAATGTGCCCACTTCCGCCCTCATCCCCACCAAACTTCTCCACGACATCCGCAAATCGTTCAAGATCGAACCTACGCAGTTCGCACACGTTCTGGAGATGTACCTCCTCGGCCAGATCCCTCAAAGCCACCGCCTGGCCGGTGGCACAAACCTCGCTCGACTGTTGATCAAAAAGTTCAAGGCCGAAGATGAGAATGACCGACGATACTACTGGTGGCGTATGCTAACCAAGCAGCGTCTCTATAAAAAACACAGAGAACTTTTGAACGAACTGGAGCTTCTCGACCGGGTGGAGAAACTTGATGCTACGGTCCTGAATGTGGAGGAGGGTTACGAGATTACATTGGATGCGCTCGCGGGCCGCTTGCCAGAAGATGAATCAGATGAAGAGGCCGAGGCCAACGAGCAGGCTAGCAAGGCTCCTACAGGTAGCCGAGACCGACGTGCCAAGCGCAAGCTCACGGTTATGGATGATGAAGAGGAGGAAGATGGGACAGAGCTAGCTAAGCGACAAAGGGTTTAGAAGCCTTGGGGCGGCAAGCTCTCTTATGTACTATTTAATGCACACGAGAATGTCGTTTTCGAGGCATTCAACAGAAGTCTTATACACCGTTCTCCAATTGGTGCGCAACTTTAGAATGCCCAATTCTAGCCGATACCCACTACTTTATGTTAACGAAAGGTCGCGTACTGGTAGATCCATGAAGATTTGTAGTACATGTACGGAGTAGATACAAGGACATAAAAAATGCATGAGTTCTTTGCAGATGGCACCCAAGCCACATTTGGGCTCGGCACTTCCCTTTTTCCGGCTTCCTCATCGCATCTCTTGGAGCTTGAATCCATTGCTACTCTCAACATCCGCAGATAAATCAACAGGGCCCTTCGTTAGGGTTTAATTCGCTATTTAATTCGCAAGTGTCAGGTTTTGGATCTACGCAGCAACCCGCTCGTTCAACTCTGTGCGCCAACTGAGTCTCCCACCTTCACCAACCTCGTCGATCGCATTCCAAAATGGTAAGCTCCAGCTTTACTCAAACGGCCTTTCCGATACCTATACTAAGTCAATTTCTGATCAGCTGCCTCTTGGTCTCCTCACGGCCGCACAGGGCCACCCCATGCTGGTGGAACTCAAGAACGGCGAAACTCTGAACGGCCACCTGGTTACGTGTGATAACTTCATGAACCTGATTCTGCGCGAAGTAGTGCAGACGAGTCCCGAGGGCGACCGCTTCTTCAGATTACCCGAAGTCTATATCCGGGGCAACAACGTAAGTCCTCTGACGAGCAATGAACTCAGAGCCCCGCTCTTTGGGCTATGTGCTAACTATCCACTAGATCAAATACCTACGAGTTCCCGAAGAGATTGTCGAAATTGTCAAAGAGCAGCAACAGAACCAACCACAAGGCCGTCGCGGCGGGCGAGACGGTGATCGTGGTCGCGGCCGTGGTCGTGGTGGTGGCGGCGGCCGCGGTGGACGTGGTCGGGGACGAGGCGGCCCCATTTAGACATAAGCTTGTTCTGCATCAATGATTTTAAGAAGACGGCAAACGAGATACCCCGGAGGAGACGGTGGTAAGGTCGCTCAGAAGGTCCGGTGCAACGGTTTGATCGAGCATGGCCGCGACGTATCTGGCTCTGTATTTTCACGGCATCTGGGTCACTTGGTCGATTTACAACTACCTCTAAATGTTACGTTCCAAAAACCCAACCAGAATTACATATTTCTCTGTAAACCCCATGCAATTCAAGAAGCGAATATTTGGAGACGTCACGTGATATTAAACACCAGATCAAATCCGCGGAGGCTAAGCTTCCGATCAGTTAGCCACAAGCGGATATGTCGCGGCGGGCATTGGTCCTGGATGGGCTATGGTACTCTCTGTGTCCGTCATTTACAGTTCTCAGCCTCAGTCGATCAACAGCATTCCCCAAATCAAAGGGACGAAACCCGAGATTATATCCGCTACCTTTGAGTTCGAGCCCGAGCTCGGGTTCGCGCCGATGCTACAACACCTCAGGCGGCGATAGTTACAAACCCCCATATAAAGCGGCATATTATAATGATCGGAGCGAACCACGGGAGCCATGCGAGAATGAATATCGCGACGCTCGCCTGTCTCCGGATCCAACATACAGGCCACCCACACGACGAAAAGGCCCGCTATACACACGAACGCATAAGGTGCAAGACGACCTCCTAGGAAAAACGAACGAAGGGCTAGAATCCCGATTGCAATATGCAATGGACAACAAGCCGAACATTCGACACATAACGCAGATCCTGCGACTGCTCATCCGCGACCGTCATGTCCAGCCGAATGCTCGCCACTACAAGGCATTGATCCTCGCGAATACCGACAACGAGAGGGGTTCGCCGCAGCTCGTGCGCGGTCTGCTGGAGGAAATGGAGAATAATGGCATCACCGCGGACTCTGGTACACTCCACGGTGCATTGCAGGTAGGTTATCTTGGTGAACCGAGCTATATATGCAAAGCGAAGCTAATGATGCAATTTTCTATACAGGTCCTGGCTGTACATCCAGACTATCTCCTACGGCAGGAAATCCTCAACAAGCTCCGAGACCGATGGCTCACGCTGAGCCCAGCCGGGTGGCATTTTGTGGCGGCTGGTCTTCTCCGCGAGAACCAGATCGAGCTCGCGCTCGAGCATGTTGCCTTGATGGAACGCAAGGATATCTTTGTGGAAAACTGGCTACACAGTATAATTGTCTACACCCTCTGTGACCATCGAGAGTTGGATGAGGTGTACAACGTGATGCGTGCGCGCGTCGACCAAGGCCACGACATGACCCATCGACTTTGGATGCACGTATTGACAGAGGCAGGGAAGCAAGGCCATTACCCAATTGCACACTATGTGTGGCGACGGATGGTTGAACTGGGCTACATGCATCCGCTCATTGAAGTCTGCGATGACGTTTTGAAACTGGCTGCAAATGCTGGTGATACAGAAATGGCGAGCTCTGTGTTCCGCTACCTTCGTGAGAGCGGGATTCCGCTCGAGCGCACACAGTACGAAAGACTCGTTGAGACGCACGTGGCAGTGGGTGATCTGCCTGCTGCATTTGAAGCGCTGTGCACCATGCACGAAGCTCAGATCCCTCTAGCGGATAGCTCGACGGAGCGTGTTCTTGCGCACATGATACACAGTAAAGTTGATCGTCGGGAGGCGTGGCAGATTCTTAAGCGGTTGAAGAACGCCAAACGAACTATTCCCATCGACTCTGTCCGTGTTATTGCGGATCTCTGTGAACACGATGCCCGTGACGATCCGTCCGTGGTTGATGATGGCGTTGGGTTCTACAAAGAGCTCTATACGTTATGTCCTGAAGGCGCCGACGTGCGAGTGTACAACGCGCTAATTCGGATGTGCCGAACGGCCCGCAACCGTGAATCGGGCATGTTCTTGGTGAAAGAGATGGCGTCACTTGGGGTGGTACCGAACAGTGTCACCTTCGAGTCTATCATTCTGATGTGCTTGGATGCGGGGAATTTCCGGTCCGGTTTCATGTACTTCCAGGACCTGATGAAGCGGGAT